CAGACAGACAGTACTGTGAAGCACCAGCCATGATGTGGTCAGCAACGGACATTACTTACTTCAGATCCCACATTTGCTTTGCTAATGAAGGTAGGCTGCAATTCAAGTTGCAAAACAGAATACATTTGAACTTTAAAAATATACACTGCCAAACTTATATCACTTCAGCAACATAAACTCACAAGTTAACTTAGATTTGTTGGAAATTAAACTTGATTCATGAATAATGAAAAATTAAATTTGATACATGAATTAGTTTATTTAATATTCATGCATTTATTTAAATTATGTATCCAAATGGTTCTTTGTATCCTTTTATTCATACTATATAGGAAAAGTCAGTAATTAGTCTCTTTAATTTATGTAATATATTTGGGATCCTTTGTACCTATAAAAGGCCTTGTGCTTGAGACATTTTATAGAGCCAAGTCATAGAATACAAATACTTTTTGAGAAATCTTTGAATTTTCTCTCTAGCCTTTCTTCCCATAATTTTTACTTCCAACAAGATTAACATATACTTCACCATCCATCCACAAAATGATAATATTGTGTACATGACATCAAAATGAGTATGAAGTACATAACTTCTAGTGTAATGCAAATTATACGATTCGATTAGTTAGTTGTATCGTTGAATAACATGTAACATCTAAGTGTGCAATCCGGCAAAAACGATAAAGTTATGAGCTTCATGTGTATATTGTAAACTGGAGAGACAAGTTATCTAATTTGTGGGGGGCTAAATTATTAGTGACAATGCATTAATGAAAAGCTGGCACACATAATCATTAACATGGCATAATCCCTATTGGACTTATTTTCACTCTCTAATTTTGTTCCCTATTTATTTCTTTCACATTACATTAGATGACATGTTTGAGTATATATGTATTTTTCATTGACACGCATTCTTGGTTTGGGGTCTATGTGTAATGTGTTGAAATGCTGATATGTTTTAACTACATATTCATCCGTGTGTTGTATGTAGGTTGTGTTTGACATGATATGACATGAGATGATATGAATGGTTTGAAACATATAGCATAAAACGAGACGTAACACATTAGCAGATTCCAAGTCTAAATCAACTAGTCTTACTTAACATTTTAATAAGCAAGAACCAAATTTGACAAGCTTTAACCAAATTCAGAGCCTCAGACACCTGGCTAGTTAGTACCATCTTCACATTTAAAAAAGCCTAGTGTATATAAGCAAAAACAAATTTATATAAAAGAACGTCTCATAACCTTCTATCTACTTCTCGTACCCATGCTTGAATAGTTGCATAGCCAAGTGTGACCTTGAGATGTTCAAGTTGAAGTTTTCTACCAGCACATGAGTCCTCTGGTTGGAAGTTGATTAAGAATTTTTCTTATTGGGACTAGGATCCAGAACAGCCACTTCTATATGTCTCTTGGAGGAGTTGGTTTTTTTTTGTTGTTGCATCTCCTGTATGTGAATGGTTAGAATCAGGCGACCCATTAACATTGTTCCTTGCATCCGTCAAGTTGCTTATTGAACAAGTGATGTGTCTTGAAGAGGTTTCCAGATTTTCATTCTTGGTGTCCAACAACATCATTGACGGTGCAGTATAGCGCCACAGATTGTTCTTATCAGATCCTATAGATGAAACGCGTTCTGGAGTTTCCGTCTAATAGGTTAGTTGCTTGATCCTTGGTGTGTATTCTCTCAAACAGGATCTTAGGCCCCGTTTGGTAGGGATTTTTTGCCCCAAAAAATTGATTTTTTTACCGTTATTTTACTATTCAAGCCGTAATTTTTGACTACTTCTCTCACATGTGGACCCCACTTTTCTTCTAACGGTCAAAAAATCAATTCTCAAAATCCCTATCAAACGGGCCCTTAATATATTATTTGACGCAGAGATTGTAAAGAATGACGTTTTATAGATATTGAAGTCATCAACTCTCTCAACGCATATCTCCAACAGATTTACATAGATCGTGAGGTTGATGGAAAAAATGTAATTTATATGCAAAGAATCAGTGTGTCATGTATGTGTGTGTATCAGAAACGAAGATTTTTTGGATGAAAAATATGGTGGAATTACGAGTTGAGATATGATTTGTAGAGTTCTTGAAATGTATTGAAGATCTTTTTGTTTTGATTTACCAGCTTGGTTCAGTGGTTCAATGGTAAGGACTCGAGATTGGGGAATTGGGAATGGTTTATGAGGTGTGATTTTCGTTTTTAATATATTAAATATGGGAGTGAGGATATTTTTCATATTTCATTTATATTACATATATTGTAGTATATTTGGTGAAAAAAGTTTGGAAAGGTAAAGAATGAATTTTAAAAAAAATTGAAGTACTGGTGACATTTCCTTTTAAATTTTTGGGATAATTGGGTCTATTACTTCAAAAAATAATAATAATAATAATAAAATAGAATAATACTCTTAAACTTAATTATTTCTTTAATTACAATTTAAATTACGCTATGCTCTAACACATCCGGATAAACCCTTTCCTCCAATCTAATTTTTTTTTTCTCTTCTTAAAATTTTTATTATTAAAGTATTTTCATTTGATGTTGTATTTTACGCTACAGTTATCTATTTTGAGGAATTAAAAATTCTATTAGAAGCTTACAATGCGATCGCGATAAAATATGTAATGGACGATATTTAAAAAGAAAAAATTATCTTCCATACATGATTAAACATAAAACTATTTTTATTAATTTTTTTCCTAGTCGATATCAATGTAAAAATTTATGAAGTTTAAACCATAATTATTATGTTCATTTCTTGTGTCCATTTTCGATTTGTAATTATGAATAATTATTTACTAATTTTAAATTCGAAAGATGTATTTTAAAGTTTGTCATAAATAAACATAGCACTTAAATAAGTCAAAAAGTTATTTTTTATTTTTATTTTTATTTTTGGTGAAATGAGACGTCACTTTTTCGAGTGTTGCCGCTGCTTATTTTTTAACTTCTATCTTTCTTTAGCTTTATCATTTTTTAATTTTCTATCTTTTTTTTTTTTAAAATCATGTCATTTTTTAGTCTCACTTTTTTTAATTTCTGTAACTTTTTGAATATTTGTTATATTTTTAATTTTTTTGTCATTTTTTTTAGTGTTTGTCACCTTTTATTTTTGTCACTTGTTTTGTATTTGTCATTTTTTTAGTGTACGTCATTTTTTTTGAATTTCTGTCATTTTTTTCAGTGTTTGTCATTTTTTTTTTATAAATTTCTATTATTTTTTATTATTTGCCACTTTTTCTTTCTTTCTTTTTATTTTTTATTTTGTGTCAGTTCTATTGAATTTATTTCATTTTTTTGAGTGCATGTCACTTTTTTGAATTTCTGTCAATTTTTTTTTAGTGATTGTTATTTTTTTATTTTTATTTTCTGTGTAACTTTTTTTTATTTTTTTTGTCACTTGCTTTGAATTTGTATCACTTTTGTAGGAGTACATTTCTTTTTGGAATTTTTATCACCTTTTTGAGTGTGTTACTTTTTTTATTTTTTATTTATTGAATTTTTTTTTAGTGTTTGCCATTTTTTTTGTATTTGTTTTGAATTCGTATCACTTTTTTGAATATGTCACCTTTTTAAAAAAAAAAAAAATTCTATCACTTATTTGAGTGTTTGTTACTTTTTAAACGATAGTTATAACTAAGAAATCTTGCAACAACAAAAGTTATAAACAAGTTATTTATTTAATTTACTGTCAAAATAATTAAATTTTCACTTGTAAAAATTAAAATATCAATGCATTTAAACATGTCCTTAAAAACTTAGAATAGTTTGTTGGGCCACAGTTGTCAGAATTGCAACCGTATGGGTAGGTCTTGTACGCTGAACAAAAAATTACATTATTATTTACTTCAAAATAAATTTTATCATGATATTTCCGAATGCCTCCCATTTTGTGGGTATTTGTGTAATTGCCCCTAAATTTTTTGAGACCCTTTACATCTTGAGTCCCAAGGCAATGGCCTGTTTGACCTGGGCCAGGGCGAAGCTCGATGATCGCCAATAATTATTTAAATACAAAAGTTGTTTCGAATGTTTAGCTTTATCCCTCTAAAACTTTGCCCTCGTTTGGTGAAGATAAAATTAGATTTTTAGCAAATTCTACTGAAAGTTGATAAAATTTGTGATACAAAAATTGTAAATCTCATAAAATGTGTAATTAGAAATGAATTTAAGAAAAAATAAGTTTTAAAATAAGGATACCAAACATGGACTTGATAATATTGCTAATGCCCAAAAAAAAAAAAATAAAAAAAAATTACCTCTTATGGCCACTCGAAAGGTCGAAGGCAGGTTGACGATCCATGTTACTTCCTCTCGCTTAATAAGTAGAATTTTTATTTAATTATTTTACCCTTGCATGTAACAAAAATAATTTAGTTATCAAATTGTTGGAAATGATATAATTTCTAATTATATATATGTGCGTGCGCGCGTGTTTGTATATTAAAGTTCTGATGAGGGTAGTATTCAATACGTTTTATATAATTTTCTTTTGTTAAATAGTGAGAGAGGTGATATACGAATAGATGGGAGATTTGAACCGTCTAGTATCGTAAGTCGACTCGTGAACTGTCTCTGACCTAGGCTAGTTTCAGCCCAGTTATTTATTGTGCCAAGTTGCCAGTCCATCCAATCAATTTTGACAACACCAGATGCATATTTAATTCAAGGACGTATCGACTCATTATGAGATTATACTCAAAGTTAAGTGTTCAATAATGTAAAGATTACCTCTATTTTTGGGTTATCATAATCTTGATAAATGTGGACTCTTTTATTTTATATTTTTTTTGAGAAATATGTAGATCAGATTATCATAATTAATGGATGTACATTACTTTGTACGGATAATCACAAACACGTTTACCATGAATAAACTAGATAAAACTAAATCCACCACTTGGTGGAGTCTTTAAAACAATAATCAACATATATATATTCTAGTAATACTGTTAAGAACCAAGATTAAGGGTTGATTTCACCTTCATCCCATTTTAGTTTACAATCTGAAAGAACATGAAGACTCTATTGACAGTATTATGTATTTTGGTTGCTGTGGCAACCGGCTGCACTGAGAACGATCAAGATAGAACTCAGGTGCGGCTGCACCCAACAGCTCCGGCACCTGCCTTGGCTCCACCGGCGACCGAGGACTGCATCAGCCTGATTTTCAACATGGTGGATTGCATGACATTTCTGGGCAATGGCGGGATCGAAACGAAGCCTGAGGGTTCGTGTTGTTCGGGATTCAAGATGGTGGTGGACAAGAATGCCGACTGCATATGTAAAGCCCTAAAGAGCAGTATCAGTTTGGGTATTGAGGTTAACATGAATAAGGCCATGAAATTGCCTTCTGCATGTGGTCTCTCTTCTTTTAAGCTTGCTGACTGCAAAGGTCTGTCTACATGCATTTATATGTGAATAATTTGTGAAAGATGCTTACGGCGGTTTCTCATTGGAGTGATGCTATGTGTACAAAAGAGGTTGACAAAACATAAGTTGGCAAGATCTATATCACTCATTTCAAAATCAGATTTTGAAATCAAAACAAATCAACTGTCTAGATCTTGCCAACACCTATTTTGTCAACAAATTTTGTCTACCTACTTTGTACAAGTAGATCAATTGTTTCTCATTGGCGGGTGGAACTTTTTTTTTTTGTCCACAAGCCAATGAACAATCGCCACCTTTGCATTCTGTCACCCACATGTACAATTAGCACCTTTCTATTACATATATTTTAACATTGAAGATTTGAAGGAGTCTTTGATTTTGAGATTTCTAATATTTTAAGTACCAAATAAAGGCATCAAAATGATTTACATTTTCTACATCAAGTAACAATTCTTGTTATCTTTTGCAGTTAAGATTCCATCAACAGCTGCTCCACCTCCGAAGTCTCCAAATGTTCCCACCCCGACAAAGCCACCAGCAGCCCCCTCCGGCCACGCTGGAACACCGGCTCATAGAGCTGCTGCAACATCTCATGCAAGCAATGGAACTTATACCACATATGCCAACTTTTCCATTCTTTTTAGTTTGGTTGTTTCTGCCTCATCATTCTTTAATGTCTTAGCTTAAGCTTAAGAGTTGAAATCCCTCTCTTTTTCACCTTTTTTTACCAGAAATGAATTATTCTTTGATCTCTTGTGCCTAAATTAGGTTCTTGAATAGCTTAATTTTAGTTATACACTAAACTTTTTAGGATTCTGAATTAGATTTACATTATTATTGACTTTGTTTAAATATTGGATTTGATAAGTTATCTGTTTTAAGAATCAGTTTAATGGATTTTATTTTGTTTAATTTTGGTGCTTCTTTCCCTTCTTTTGTTTGCTGGAATTTATTATTTTGATTCTGGTAATGATCGTCAATAACTATTTTGGTTCTACTAAGACAAATTTTCCTACATTAGACTAAAGATAAAACCAACGAACAGTAGTTCATTCATCAAAGAAAAAAATAAATTCGTAATCTAGGATCATACTTGTTTTACTAATATATTTGATTATGTTTAAAAAATAATTTTTTAGATTATAAACTTCTCTAGAATTTAAGGAGTACAATTTTAGAAAATAAAGTAAAAAAGTAAGGCTTTATTAATGGGGGAAAAAAATAACTTTTAAGAGAAAAAAATAGTAAACGAACCTACAAGAAACTGACTCCTAGTGCTTGGACAGTTGGCAACATGTATTTCTGCAACAATCATTCTACTTGTGCATTTCATCTAGGGGTGGGCGTGGGTTGGGTTGGGTCGGTTTTTACCCCAACCCTAACCCAATCCAACGTGGTCGGTTTGATCGAAGATCAACCCAACCCAACCCAAGTAAATGTTGAAACCCAACCCAACCCAACCCAATCAAGTGTCGGTCGGGTTGGGTTGGGTTGGTCGGTTTGAGCAAAATGTTTAACTAGAATCATACGTGTGTGCCCGTGTGTAGTTTTCACAGAAGTACACCAAAATTATACCTCATATGCCTCCAGTGACTGATCAGCAATTTCTTTCCTCTCATTACCAGTTTTGAATTCTATAAGATGCCTATAATAATCTCCTTTCCTGCAAAAGACAGAGACCATTCAATTCCTCACAAACTGAAAATCACATTCAACTAACTAAAACAAAATCACATTCTAGAAATCTGCCTCCCACCACCATTTATTTGAAGTAGCTAAAACTAATGAACATTTGATATTCTATAGATTATAACAGAACCTGAAGGTTGAGGCAGTTTTTTTAATATCCAGTTTACTAGGACAAGATAGAAACAGATTTGCAACAACCAAAACAATCATAACCAGAAGGCTCACCAAAAGGAATTCTTGGGAAGGGCAGTACAGCAATTGAGACAAAATAGATACTAAAATCTCTAAAAGGCCAAACACATAAATTCCAGAAATATAGCAATTGCAACTGACTAATACTAATGAATACGTTTGTAGCTCTATCCACATATAATCAAAGTAAAGATGCAGATTGTGAAAGATATACTTTAAAGCTCTCAAAGACCATGCTCCTCCTAACTGCTCAACTCAAATAAAGAGATGTTTGTAATCCCCATTGGCAAGTAGGAAAACTTGATTGTAACTAGTTGTATCTTTTTCGGCAGCCACATTTAATGGTACCCATGTGGCAGTTTTTTTCTCCTGAAACATTTGTTTGACGGTGGCTACTGAGTAGACAAACGTGCTTGTTTTCTGTGTGGCATCTCTCTTTTCCACCATCCCCTGTTTGCTTGGCATTTGACCACCACTGCGTTCTACCCCCTAACCCATCGATGAAACTCCTCTTTTGAGTAGCTGAGAATCTGAAATCATTGCCATCTACCACCTGGCAGCAGAGCTTTCATTGCCGCAGCCCACATTCAGGTACTTGTTCGAGCTTATACTGCCTACCAGGGTCCGAGGCATCAACATTGCGAATTATAGTCTGTAGATAGGCCCATTCCTCGACTTCCCAATTCCAACTCTCACGAAACAACCAACAATCAGTTTATCGAAGAAGGGCTCCATAAACGATTTTTGCTAGTTTTGACCTCCGAATCGTAATTTCCCTAATATCCGAAACTGTTGGAATCTTGGACTCGAATGTCTTCTCAGCCATTTACCTCGACAAAAGTCGAAAGAGGTATAACCAACAACCGGGTTTGATGTATCCATTTCAAATGCCACCTTTCTCTTTGATTCTACAGAAATTGATGAACAATTTGTTTGTCTGAGGCAGAGATAGGTTGATCAATTGATGTCACCTTGGCTTTGGGGCTGAAGATTGAAGACGAGAGTGAGAAAGTGAGAAATTTAGGGCTTTTCTCTCATTTTAAGTCAGTTCCCCCCGCCTTTTTTTTATTTTTTTATTTTTTTAAAGCATGCGGGTTGGGTCGGGCGGGTTGGGTTGGGTTCTCCTTGTTAACCCACAACCCGACCCAACCCGAACTGATTACTCAACCCATAGCCCGAAAAACCGTCAAAAAAAGGAAAAAAACCGACCCAACTCGGTCGGTTTGGATTGGGTCGGTCGGTTTTCATGGGTTGGGTTGGTTTTTGCCCACCCCTAATTTCATCTGGTATCAACTTGGACATTGTGCCACGTTTTGCAACATGATTGGATAGCTTCAAAACACCACACACTTTCCTACCTAAAATGTTTTGAATTGCCAAACAATGTACACAAGAATGTAATGTACAGTGAGCTTTATTCTTTTTTCAACTTGGTTAGGTCAGATCGACAAATAACTAGGTTTTGCAAATATTATTTTTGTCATTCTCACACTAGTAGAACATGCAATATTACAAAGCCCTTGTTTGATTTCCATTATTTGAAAATTTTATTTTTCTCGAAATTTATTTTTAACCATAGATTCTTTTAATAAAATATTTTGCAACTAAACTTTTTTTTTTAACTGTTTAACCACGCACTAATCTCCAAAATTTGTTATTACAAAACTCACTTTCAACAATAAACGAGGCTCAAACATAGGCTAAATCAGACATGACTAGGGCAGGTTAAAAGAGAAAAAAAAGGAAGAAGATATTTAATTAGTCGTATCATATACCACAAGGTTTTGTAGGATGTGATTTTGGGAACTTGTCTCCAAGAGCGAATTTAGAAATGGACTAGAAGAGTTTTAAGCAGGGTTAATATATTTACATATAAAAAGAATTTTATAAAGGAAGAAATAAAATCCCCTTGCATCTCCATGAAATAATCTCTCGGTGAATAAAAAGGAGAGCTATACACACTAAGAAGAACGCTTTAATTTTTTATTTTATTTTATTTTATTTTTTCTCTATTTAGTGATATGACAAATTTTGGAGAAAGTAAATATCGTAAGCCTAGACTTTGGCCTGGAAAATTATTTCGTAAGCATCATTTTGTGCTTGATAGTTAGCCCCCATTTGGTACCAATTTTTCACCTAAAAAAATCGATTTTTTGACTGTTATTTCACTATTCGAGCTGTCATTTTTGACTTCTTAACTCATATGTGAGACCCACTTTTCTCTCTAACGATCAAAAAATCAATTTCTATAATTAATACCGAACAGGCCTTAATATGCAATCTTTTCCTGAACAATAATGGAATAAACTTTGTAGTAGTAAGTAATTTTCATTAATTAATCCTTTTCTTGTTTTATTTTCTACACAAGTGCTCGAATTAGGTCCAAAAAAGTAGAAATCCAAAGCAAGAATCTTATCACAAACTTGCTTCTTCTCCTTTATCTCTTTCTGGGTTAGGTTCTGGTTGGAAGGATCCCACCAGCCACTGGTAAACAGGGCCCCAAATGCACCCTTTTGGCTATTGACACTGACATTATATAATCCAATCCTCATTTTCTAATCAAATATTAAACATCTTCAGCAAATTTTGGTGAGCAAGTTAGAACTGCTTCTGCCACAGTGAGAAATATCTTTTCTTCTCCTATCAAACTCGTGAAGCCAGAAGCGTGAAGCTTGTCCATCACGACCGGACCAGGGTTCGCCAGAACAAGCTGCTCGATCATCAGAAAAGTTTCGAGATAAGTTTTCGACTTGCATAATGATTTGAGTTTTGGATATACTTGCATATGGAATGAAAACTTAATTTTACCTCAACAGATCTCTTTTGAAGACTTCTGTACAGTTCTTCCAATGCATGGATGCCGCTGGTGTCGATGTCAGTAACGGCTGCGGAGAATGAAAATTCACGAGAGATCGTATCATTCAAAAAAAGTGCAATAGTATGCTCAGAAATTGTTGGACGAGGTAAGAAAGTACTTACGTGACATTTCGACTATCAAAAATTGAATCTCAGGAAGGCCAGCCCTTTTCAGTTGCTCTTCCTCGTCGGTTAGCCACCTTATTATCCTGAAAACATGAAAATTTTACAACTCAAATGAGATAAAACTTAGGTTACGATACGAAACTTTAGAGACAAAATTTGCACCTTGCCAGACTATTCAAAATTTCAATCAAAACAACATAAAAGTAGAGAGAATTAAGATTTGCAGAAGAGAATTAAATGGGAAGACATATTACCTCTCCCTTATATAGTTAGAGTTAGAAAAGTAAATTGCCGAATCAACCCTCACGATTAACACACCCGGGACCTTCGTTGCCTCAGGATATTGTAGGATATTCCTATAAACATTTGTCCTGGGAATTTTTCCAAGGATTGCTGTCCTTGGCCTTGTAACTTGTAAGAGTAATTTGGCGAAAGATATTGAGACCTATTATCAGAATTTAATGCATTTAGTACAAATCTTAATAACAAACTTCAAATGAGAGAGGCATATTCTCACCGCAATTAAGAGGCCAATCTCGACAGAGGCAAAAACAACCCCGAAAAAGGCTCCCATACAAGCAACAAAGTCGAATTTATCAGTTTTCCAAATCAAAATTGCTGCATCACAATCAATTAAGCCGATGACTGCAGAGATAATAATGGACGAGAGGATTGCATTCGGGGTGTACTCAAAAAGAGGCGTGATAAACATTAACGTTAAGAATACAACAAAGGACATGATGATATTGGAAACTGCTGTTTGGCATCCAGCCATGTAATTCACTGCGGAACGGGAGAAGGAACCTGCAAGTGGCCAAAATAAACTTTGAATAACAAAAAATATATCATTCTCTACTGCAGCTGATCGATAAAATATAATTCCATTACTGCTATCAATTTTCACCTGTCGCCACGTAACAGGATGTCATAGAGCCGACTACATTCATTGCTCCAAGAGCAACCATTTCTTTGTTTCCATCTAGTTGATAGTCTTTCATGGAAGCAAAAGTTCTTCCAATTGCAACAGCTTCCTAATAAGTATTAATGAAAAAAGTGAATATACATAAAACAAATGGAGAAAAATTGAATGAGTTCTCAAGAAATTTTTGACCAAGGAAAATCTACGAAACTAGCTTACTGTCAATGCAATCATGCCAGCCACAATGCCAATCCTAAAACCCTTCAAAAGATAATCACCAGTAAAATAAATCTGATTCACGGATGAGGGATTAATTCCTTTCTCGATATGTTTAACCTGGTTATGCCAAACGCATATTAGTACAAAATAATTACAGCTGATTACAGTGTTACGAAATGAAATTAGCCAAAAAAAGGGCTTACAATTTGTACTCCTCTCTTCTCTGCATGCGTAATATACACGAAGAATGTAGACAGAATAACGGAGACCAGTGGAGCAATAGCTGGTATCCAAAAGAGTTTCTTATTCTTCTTCCCCTGCACCTCACAGTGTTAGAATTGCTAATGAAGCCGAAAATCATTTAAAAATGTAAAATACATTGGATGAAACTCGGAAGTCGGGTGTCTTACAATGTACTTGGCAAATAGAAGAAAGGCTAAAAATGTTGTTCCTATTACAATTGTCTGCCAATTCCACTGCAACAGAAAATATTGGAAATTTTGAGCACCCGGTGTCAACTTAAAGCTGGGTAATTCATGCACACAGAGAGTGAGAACACTTACTCCATGGTGGGCAGAGCCCCACACTGACTTCATAACGGATATAATATCCGTCTTCTTTGTAAACTTATTGATGCCTAAAAATCCTTTAAGTTGTTGGAGTGCAATTGTTATGGCAGCACCTCCCATGAATCCAACAACAGCAGCGTGAGATAGGAAGTCGATTAAGAAACCCAATCTGCACGTAAATCCAAAATTAGATCAAAGTAAAAGACTAAAAAACTGCTAGGATAATATCGAAAAGAAGAAAATTTAGCAGAAATTCACTAATTTGACTGCAATTAAACTCAATTACCTAAGAATGCCAAGGATAGCTTGAGTGATGCCAGCAAAGAAAGTAGCTGTGAATGCAAGTCTACGATATTCAACAGCATTTTTGATGGGATCAATCTCGTTCTGCAGTAGAGTCCCAAGCAGTAGAGACACCACAGCAACCGGCCCTATGGCTATATCTCTCGAACTGCCCATAAAGGCATAGACCAAGGGAGGTACAAAGCTCGAGTCTGATCAAGTTAACAGATTAAGCATGCAAAAACACGCACGAGTACATCCTTGTCATCAGACCATTGCTAATGGATATATTTTACTTATAGCATGTTTGGTGGAGAGATTCATTGGACGGTATAATGGAAGGAAAATAAGCTAAAAAATCTTGTCATTATACAGTCCAATCCTATCCACTACTGCATCAAACATACACTTAATGTATATGTGTTACTTACATAAACCATACTGAGGAGCTAAATTCGCAAGCTTTGAGTAGCCAATGTCCTGTTGAACAAGTATCACAAATTAAATCAAGAAATATGAAAGCTTTGGAAATCCTCATTGTCTTATATATATTTAGAATGCATAAAATCTACCTGAGGAATGCAGAGGCTCGCAATGGTAAGCCCAGCAATTAAATCTCCTTTAAGTTTAGCTAGATTATAACTTCTACCCCAATCAAGTATCGGAAATACGGCTTGCATCCCGAGGACAAACTTCCGAGACCTGGATTGATCCTTAAATGAGCGTAAAGGATCATCTGCAAAGAATGTTTCCTTCAACCTGGAAGAGAATTCCTTCCATGGGTTTTGCTTTGGCGGAACACCTACCTTGTGAACACAAGGCAAAGTGTGACGATTTGAAGATGAAAAACTTCTAACCTCAATCTCTTTCGTGTCCATTGAATTCTCAGTACTATGACCCATTCGAGATGAGACTAGGAAATCGTTCTACACAGAGAAACAAATGCTGGTTAGATCATCAATATAACAGGACTGATTGAAGGGTAGATTCGTCAATATCATGGTAATAGATTTCACTATCCTAATACTGAACAAAAAGTCTACATTTAACGCTTTCAGTTTGTATTGAAATTTCAAAGAGAATAACTTTTACAATTGAAAAGGACAAAAAGCAAAAGAATGAGAATGAACGTAAGTAAGTTAAGCTATACTCTATAGACAGATGAATGGAAGCAAACAAAAGCAGGAAGAGGCTCCTTAAGATTCTTGAGTTGAAAATATTCTTTACAGATGAGGAACACATTTTTTCCTTTTTATATAAATCCTCAAGAATACAGGTCAAACTTTCCAAGCTCGAAGTGACGGCAATAGTAGCATACATGCATCGAAAAAATTTCTTTCTATTCACATTCTGTTGAAAATAGATGTGGAATTTTCAATTTCGGCTGTTTAAGTCATAGACATTGCCAACAACCATTGATCTATATAAGCAATGAGATCAGCGGGCAGTGATTATGGTTTATCAAAACTGATGTTTAAAAAATTGACCTCTAAGAGAAACAAAACAATGCTTTCCACTGCTATAAGCATGTTCAGCTAAGAGTGAAAAAAAATAAAATAAAATAAAACTAAAATAAAAATAAAAAACTTCTTTACAAAATAAGTAGATACTTTTAAGAAAAATAACTTTTAAACTAAAATCTAAAATAACACATTAAAAAAAAAAAAAAAGTGGTTCTAAACAAGTTCAAAGCTCAAACATGTTTGGCATACTTTTAAGAAAAGTAACTTTTAAACTAAAATCTAAAATAACACATTAAAAAAAAAAAAACAAGTTCAAAGCTCAAACATGTTTGGCAGAAAAAGTAAGCTTAACAAAACATGCTCCACTGGTTCCATTTTTGCTTCATACTTTGCTCAAATGGTGATACAAAACAAAGATTAAATAGTTATATGGAAATCCAATGGGAATATAGGTGAACTAATACACCATAAAGGCATGTTTGGCACACAATATTGGAAATACTATAGACAAGATTTTAGTGATTCTTATCATTTTCTTAATACTGTCAACTCCACATTATTAAACATTACTTAAATATAATATATATTATTTATTCAATGTTAACTTCCCTTTTCCCTGTTTGTTCAAATATAAGAAATATGATGCTCTGGTGTTTAATGTTCCCTTATCTTGCCTGCCTCTTAAATCAAAGAGAATCGACAGTTTTTCCTTCAATCTTTTTCATTCAATTTAAAGTAGGTACCTCTTGCTTGGCCAATAAATTCTATCATAATATTTTAAACAATTTCTCCTTCAACCATATAACTTGCACATTGATGACTATATATTCTTGTCAAATACTCAGTAAGTATTCACAATATTGGATCTACTTTAGGAAAGGAGAACATTATTTAGAAATATATGATATTGCACAAGTTTCCTCATACTGTACATAAAAGATAAGCTTTTTAAGCATATCAGATTAGTTTCGCTCAATTTAAAGCAGATGCCTCATCGTTAACCAATTTATTCTATCAAGTTGCTTCAAACAATCTCCTTTTTAACCACATAATTTGTGCCTTACTGACAACCCCTGGTTATCAAATGCTCCTTTGACGTGTTTGGTAAAGTGGATGGATCAGGCAGCACTCAACATTAATATAAAACAAAAAATTAAAATACGCGACACAAGTCTAAAAATGTATACCGAGCATCCATTTTAAATACTCATAATATTGGCTCTACTTTTGGAAAGGAGTACACATATAAAAAGAAACAAAGAAAACATTTTATAAAATTGAGCCATTAAATAATAACACTACACAAGCTTCCGCATATTGTCCACAAAAGATAAGCTTTTGCAGCATATCAAATTCATACAATATTTCGTTGAAAAGCAACAAAAAGAATCAGTGTTAAGAATGTAAAATGGTAGTGCAATTTTTTCTTCTATCTATGATAACATATCGATTTGTTAGAGTATGTTGCAGACAAAATTAAAATAAATAGTTTTATCCCCTCTAATTACTTGAACTTCTAGAGTAGGAGCTTCAATGTTCCTATACGTGAAAACTCTGCACGTATTAGACTTATTTCGTTGAAAAGCAACAAAAAGAATCAGTGTTAAGAATGTAAAATGGTAGTGCAATTTTTTCTTCTATCTATGATAACATATTGATTTGTTAGAGTATGTTGCAGACAAAATTAAAATAAATAGTTTTATCCCCTCTAATTACTTGAACTTCTAGAGTAGGAGCTTCAATGTTCCTATACGTGAAAACTCTGCACGTATTAGACTTGTGACAAGAAAAATGAATCTGGAACGCATGCTAGGGAACAAATCTAAACCTGTGTTCGAGAGATAGCTGCCCATACACTGATAAGGGATGTATGGATTCTCGAAAAGAGAGGAGCCATGGTGGTCCCCCCAGACCGGCCAGATCCCACTAGGGGACGTGTTGAAAACAGACTTTTAATAAATAAACTTTTCTAATATTTTTAAAGTTTAAGCAATTAGATGATGTGGTTTAAAATAATACAACGAAATTCACAATAAGCTAAGTCTTATTCTTAATAATTTAGATTTTAGAGTTGTTTACTTGGATACCTTTTCGCCATTTCATTTGGTTCATCCCTACAACAACAACAGGAACATCTAATGTCCTAAATCATTCGCAAATTCATTTGTAAGAAAGAATCCGATGACCCAAATGCAAACCCTAAACCTTGAATACATCCTCCCCCACCTGCCCAAAATCCAAAGGGCATTGGGTGACCCTTTAAATTGAAGAGAAGGCATTCCAATCAGCTTTATGCTGAAGAAGTATATAATCCCATTAAGAGAATAAAAATCCAAACCAGAAAGTGCAACATCTCACCTCATTCTCTAAACATCATTGAAAGTGGACATCTGTGAAAATCATATGCCCCACATCCCACTCTGCAAAAAAACAATACTTTTTCCATTAAACAAAACCAATTATAATTACTTTTTATATTCAAACCTACACAAATTAAGTAACCTGCAATACACTTTTGCCTTTTTGCCCGCACATCCAATGGTCCTCGTACTTCTGGGAATTTCTAACTCATAACACGTCCAGGTTCAATGAATCTGATAATTTCCCCTATTCAGACCACTCTTTCTTGATTTTGTTTCTGGCTAAGAATATTTCCTAAGGTATAATTATATGAGAAGAGGGTTTTCTAATTGTTAAATGGGATTTCCAATTTTACTTTTGAAATCTTTTGAAATCCGATCATTTCGAGTACAAAATAGTTGTGTTATGATCAAATGCTGACACAAAAAGGGCGAGAAATCTAAAGGAAAGTTTGCATTCGAGGGACCCCACGTGTCTTTTAAAAGTCAAAGGAATGGAAAAAACGACCACGTTTGTAGGGACATCTGCAATTTATCAGTCATCCGTCAACGGGGTTTTATTATTTTTTATGAACGCAATTATTGACATTATTAGTTATAACCGGTTGATTGTATGAGGCTGGGATAGAGTCCAGATTCAGTGAGAATTAGGAGTTCGGAATTTGAACCGCTGTCGAAATTCCACGTAGATGGCAACTCAAAGTTAGAAAAGTACTACCAAACTCACACGAGCCTCCATGACTTGGATCAGGAAGTTCCTAGGCTTTGCGAGAAGATGTGTGTCCAAACTATGTCCATATCTCAAAGGGAAAATTGCAGTGGAGGTATCAATCATTTCGTTTATTAGCAGACTTTGCTCAGACATTTCATTTGTGTCAACGTGAGTATCAAACCTTTAAAAAATTTGTAGTTTAAGTCCAAATTGACAGTTTCCATTAATTTGACCCCAGAAACCGTCAGTTGACCCCAAAAATTAAAAATTTAATAATTTGATCACATAAGACAAACATAAAATGACCATTTTACCATTTTAATATAAATAAAATAACTTCTCTATATATATTTCTTCCCATCCTCACCTACCCAAAAATGTAGAAAACCAGTCTCATCACAAAGCCACCCACCGTCGATAGTGCCACCACTGTTGGGCCATACCGCCATTCACTTCATCTGAGCCTCACTCAAACTCACTCCTTTCTCCGTGCATCTCTACCGACCTTTTACCCCCTTCAATCACAAGCTATTATCTCACAACAATTTCCTTTTAACACCAAATAGGAGCTATTATTCCAAATGGGAGCATACGACAATAGCAATTTTAGAGTTGAGACCGAATGTTTGAATTTCACTGTCACTCAATTTCCTTGAGTAGAGATTGGATTTTGGATCCACACTGGAAAATTTCGTCATTCTTGGAGTCTCCCAACGCATTGTATTTTCTTGTGCTTATATTGTTAATGATGATAATAATGGTTGTTGGACTTGGAAAAGGTTTTACCGCGAAATATGCTGTTGACTGCATCTTCGAGCTCATTGGGTGTGGATTTAATTTAGTTAAATGGCGTAGAGGGTTGGGAGGAAATGGTAGATTGATTTGGTGGGGTTGGCTATGTTGTGGTTAGGGGAGGCGATGGTGAGTGGTTGTAGCAACGATGGTGGGTGGTGGTATTGGCAACGATAATGGTGGAGTATTTTGGTAGGAGGGTTTGTGAAGAAGATGACCGATTTTCCTTTTTTTTTTTTATTAAAATGGCCATTTTACCTTTTTCTTACGTGGTCAAATTATTAAATTTTTTAATTTTTGGGCCCAACTGACGGGTTACTGGGGTCAAACTAATGGAAACTGTCAATTTGGACTTAAGCTGCAAAATTTTTAAAGGTTTGGTACTCACTGTGGCACAAATAAAATGTTTGGACAAAATTTGCTAATAAACAAAAATTTTGGTACCTTGGCTTCAATTTTACCTATCTCAAATTCAAATGAAATGATTCAACTCCACTCTTAAACTTTAAACAATATTTTCAACATAATATTTACGTATATTGACCCTCTTATGTATAATAGAGAGCATTTTTAAATTTAGAAAATAAACTTTTTTATAAAATTCAGCAATACTCACTATTTTGACTCTTTATTTTATTTTTTTAAGAAACATTTATTGGTTTTCTCTCATAGTTTATTTAACATATTTTTCTATATGTGAAATGTGAATGATTAATCAATTCAAATATGATTTAAATAATTTAATGATTAGGTATTGAAGTTTGTGACTTATTAAATGTAATTATAGTAAATTAATAATAGAGAGTAGGTTTGATTCTCTAAGTTTAGAGAGCTAATAGCATTTTCAATAGACTCTCTAAATATAAAATTTTCTTTATTTTAAAAATTAATGCTTAAAAATAAGTTACGAAAGACTTTTCAAATTTAGAGAGTCAAACTCGCTTTCTATTTTAATGTACAATTGATTACATTTAGCTCTTGTTTGATCTTCATAATTTTCAAAATACATCTGTCTTTCTTTTTTCAACCATACATTTTTCAATAAAATAATATTGAACTCAAAACCCAGATTTTTTTTACTATTTTTTAACCACACATTCTCCATTTACCTACTATTCCTGAATGCATTCTTACCATAAAAATGGGATTCAAACAGGCACTTAATAACTCATATATTTCAATACTTTACTTATTAAACTATTCAAATCATATTTAAATTGATTGACAATGATATATACAAAATTGTGTTAAATAAAATATGAAGAGAAATCAGTGAATATTTCTTGAGAAAAGCAAAATCATGAACCAAAATACTAAATAGAGATCATTATTGAAATATATAAAAATTTTCACTCTCTAAATTCAAAGAAACTCTCTATATATAACGAATAAAATGTTCTTTATAAATACAGAGTTTTTTTAAAAATGTTATAAATTCACTCTCTATTTTAAAAATAAAGAGATTCATAAGATTTATTTTTAAATATTAACTCTTTAAAATAAAGAGTATTTTACATTTAGAGAATCTATTTCTAAGCATATTTTAACGTGCAATGCCTAAGCCCCATTTGGTCCCCAATATTTTCCGTTAAATTATAATTGATTTTTCTCTTTCTTCTTATTAATACTACGTTCTTCAATAAAATAATATTACACGTAAACTCAAAAAAATTTCTTTCTTTTTTAAACTATATATATATATATATATATATATACACACCATGTGAATTTAAAAAATGTTGGTTCGTGATCTCCATCTCGTATTGTGTGTAGTAAGTAAATGATTATGTAAAAAAAGTTTGTAAGTGTAATATGATCATTTACATATTTAGTCCCTATTTGAGCCTATTATCTAAAAACTCATTTTTTTCATATATATATATATATATATAAAAGGCTTAAGTTATTATTTTTCACTAGACGATGACCCTTTTAAGTAATTTCCATTGAAATTTCTTCTTTTTCTTCTTCTTTCATTGTTTGTTTGTGGTTTTTTTTTTTTTTGGTAAACCTTCTCTAAAGTTCCAGGCATGTCGGGGCCTATCTGTTGCCTATGATCCTATCTAACTTGACAAAGAGACTTCCTAGCTAAATGAGCGAGTTTTCAAAAACATCCAACTTTTAAACTAAGCTAAAATTCAAACAATTTTTTTTTTAAATATTCAAAATAAATACTCTTGAAGAGATATAACGAGTTTTAAACATAAGATCAATTAAGATAGCTAGTTTGTATTTATGAGAAACAAGCTGTTAAATGAAACATAGATCAATACATAAATGTTTGTACTACTCCGCTTAATATGGTATCACGGCTAATTAAAATCCAACGAGTAATTATATTCGATTAAGACTTGAAAAAATGAGCACACAGATTTCAAAATTGATTTGTTCAAATGAGCCACCGTCTTGCGGGGCATGCTAAGGGATGTTATTTCACATCGAATAAAGATGAAAACATAAATGAATCTATAGAGATTTGTGATATTTCTCTTAATAAGGTTGACATTTTAAGATGAAATTTGAAATTTTAATAGAAGCTTTGCCAGAAGAAAGAAAGATGAGGGCTTCTTTGAGTGGAAGCCCAGAGATTAAATCAAGCCCCACGTGTAGGAAGGCAATTCGAATTGTTAAAATTGAAAACCGCAGTTAACCAAATCGATGGCGCAATGTGATGGATATGATATTTGATTTTAATAACCTGGGTCGGGCTGGTATGGTATTTACGCCATCGTTCCACCTCGAACCGATTATTCGTTAAAAAAAATAATAACTGGACAGTTGGATTTACCATTATTCTTTCTATGATAATTTGTCTAACCCAAAATTTTTGGCCCATCACCGACCCCGTTAAGTCCAATAAGGCAATAACTTAACCTAGTTACCCACTGACGCTACCACAAAGAAATTGGAAAATGGAATCAAATTCAACAATAGAATAGTCGTTTGCACTTTGAGTCTCTATCGTTCCCAATTTTTTCTTCTCCACAGTGTTTTCTTTAGCGCTCTCCATCGCCATCCCCAAATAAGAGGGTATTTCTCTTCGCTATTCAGCAAAAGCCGTCTGCACTCTTTAGTCGTTGCTGTCTGCATTTTGCCGTCCCCAACAATCGCCGCTTGCTGTATCCATTTTTTTTTGGTTGGGTTTGAGTATAGAATGAATCCCAGTATATTTAAAATATATTACCTTATTCCATTCTCGTTTTCCGTTGCTGTAATCTATATCAAATTTTTTTTTTGAGGGTTGGGTTTGAGTATCTGATGAAATGTGGTTCTTATTCTTGGGCTTGAATTGATGATATTGTGATAATTTTAGTATCTATTTATTTGTTGTCATGCTTATTTTCTTACTTTACTTTACGTTACATGTGAATATTTCTAAAATTTAATGAGTTTCTTACTTATTTTCTTAATTTTACTATTTTTGAGCATCATTTGTTGAGAATATAATTGTTCTTTATTTTATTTTGCAAGAATATAGGTGAGAAAATTTTAAAAAATTATTTTCATTGTTATTAACGATCCGAAGCGAGTTGAACCAAACCGACTTACATGGTTACGGTACGGTTATGGTATGATCAAAAAATTAGTGGTTCGGCGATGGTTTTGGCCAAACCGACCCGAACTGAACCGTTACCAACCCTACACACGTGGTAGCCAAATCAAAGACCAGATTTGGAAATATTTTGTGTTGGCATAGCCTTAAGAACGTGGAATTGAAAAACTAATAAACTAAGTTTTTTTTTGGGTCGATAAAAATAAGTTGATTACTTATCCTATATTGATAAATAAAGATTTGGAAAGTATATTTGAATAGAGTTATACTTCAATTTAATAAGATATGTAAAATATTTTTGTAAATAGTTAACTTTAGTCTCATGCTGAAATTATTGAGGCCCCACGATGGACTTGGTGCACATTGGAGGACAA